AAGGGCTATTTATCTTGAAGATATATTTTTCTATAATTTACCAAAGGGAGAGATTGTAGTTCCTTTGGATTGGCTGCATTTAACATAACAACAACATGGAAAAGTGTGCAAGTGTTCAAGATTGATCTAGCTTGATTATGTTGTATAAGGGATACATGTTTGGCGCGATGCTCCAGCATGTTGGTACGGCATATGGACCTTGCTCAACAAGCGTCTGACTGTTGCGTTTTGAATGAATATTTGGAAAAAATTCAATTCTATTTATTGCTTTTATTTAGCAATATGATTTAGTAATTTTTTGACAGCTAGATGAAGATTAATTCATATTTAAATGAAGATTTAAGATTGAATTTAAATTGAAACAAATCATATCTTGTTGGAGATATTCAAGGAATAAATCAAGTATCCCGCAGATTTTGCATTAATTATGGACGAAATCAAATCTCAAATCCATGAAGAAAAACCCAGGATTATTATGGTATATAAAGAGTTCAAAACCTACATTGGAAGTCAAACTATACATTGAAGATTTATAATGCTGAGGTTTATTTTTGAGTTCTTGTTATTGTTGTATGTACACCTTTATGTTTCAGTAACTTAGCATAAAAGGTTTGTCTAGAGTTAAGTGATAGTATTTAACATTTATTATTAAGTTGTAATCTCCAATTACGGGTTGTGTGATTGAGAAGAAAGTGAGTAAGTTCTCATGTTTAGGGGAAGACTCTAAATAGAAAGTCACCAGATAGTGTTGGTAAGAGGTATTGAACAACATAAAGTTTGTTGTTGCTTGTAAGACTTATTGTACTAAGCTACTAATAGTGAATTTTCTTTCTTGGATTATGGACTCAGTCCCCAGATATAGGTGTGGTTTCAACAAACTAGGTAAACAACTATTGTGTTATTTACTATTTTTCTGCTCCATCATTTATACTTGCCTTTACAATGTTTCTAGTTTAACTTGTCGAACCAATTGTCTAAAACATCGTGTTCGACATTTGTTCTATGAAGAACAAAATTTCAATTTTAACCTTCAGGTATCTTTGGTCAGTATTAATAAATGGAACTGACTTACTCTATTTGACATCATGTTGAATTTGTTGTAGCAAGATAGAAACCAACTAGTGTTTTTCATGGACATTCCTTGATCATGAGCAATTTTTTAGTAAGCTTCAAAAATACCTACATTATATTTGTCATCCACCATCTCGAGCAAAGGAATTCGTAAAACAATGTAAAATAGAAACCTCCTCTCTTACTAAAAGAGAATTTCTTACCCCACCCCTTAGGGTTTTTAGACACCATGTGTGCTTCTAAAAATACCCCCTACTTTCGAAAATGTATCTCCGGATGCACCTTTTTTTTTACTTAACATTGGTTTGTTCCGGAGCTACATCTACGAAATTTTTCTGCTTATATAGCTCCGAAACAAATTAGAATACATTCGCGTCAAAGTCCCTTCTCCTCCCCCATTCTTCATTTTTCAACTTCTCACTCTCAAACTCTCTCAATTCTCAAAAAAAAATTTTCCACCAAAGTTAATTGTTTTCAATCAAGTTCGACAAGGAGCATTCATCACAACGATCAAGACACTCCAACTCATTCAAAGCTCAATATAATCGGTAAGTTTTCGAGTTTCTGAGGTATTTTCGAGTATTTCCTATAAATGAGTTAGAATATAGTTTTATGGGTAAAAGTCGTTATATAGTTTTAGAAACATATTTTAGAGGCAATATAGGTATTGTTTGTTGGCTGAAACAGACGATTAGAGTGAAAAAAACCGATTTTCTTGGGGAGGGGACGTCATTGACGTTGTTGTTGGAGTTGCAGGAAGTTCTGAAGCTACATCTATGGAACAAATTAACGTTAAGACAATTCCGTAGATCCAGCTCCAGAATAAATCAAACTTTCTGAATTCTGGCTTCTCCCGTAGATACATATACGGAAGTTTTCCGTATGTTCGCATCCGTAAGTAAAAAAATGTTAATTTTATTTTTAATTTATTTGTATCTAATTGTTTTTTATTGGTTATACCGTGCATACATTATGGTAAACAAAGAAGATAGATTGCGACTTGAACGAGTTTCACAACATGCATCTGTGAGACGCGAGCGGAGCCAGGTTACCGTTATCGAGGTCGATACAGTTGAGGCACATCTTTCTTCATCACATTCTCAAGACATTCCCTCGACCTCGTATCCCACCCTACCATCCACTTCTTCATCCCGGAGGTGTCGGGATTCAGTCGAGGGTTCATCACAGGCCCCGTCCTCCTGTAGGCCTCGTCGGGATACTCCTGTTTCTCCTCCTGATGTTGATCCAGTGCCACCTTCAGAGGGTGATGACCCACCACTAGAGGATGTTGGTGACGATGAAGATAATGAGCCTGAGGGTTTCCCAGGGGGTCTCTCAGATATGTCCCTGCTGACAGGGTACACCGACCATACTACTAGACATGTTTGGGATGAAGAGGTAACTAGGCGTCGACCCTTACAGAGTCTATCTTGATCCCCTGGCTGCCGAGGACATCCGGTACGACATCTATGTTGATCATCGCGTGACGCGTCCGTTTGACGACATCTTCTTATTCTCAGGATGATTGACATGTAGTTCGACCATTACTGTTCCATATTTGCCCGAGTGCGTCATGCGGTAGTTCGGCTATCGCTCCTCTCGACTTGACCCGTATGCAGATAGACGAGATCTATGTCGACTACCAGAGGCACATGGTACCTGACGAGGCTCGGGCGACCAGAGCGCCGACAGACTGGAGTTGCGTTGATGGCTACATCATGTTGTTCTTCACCATATCACACCCCTATAAGGTGCCCACTGCCGATGGATCACCACCTAGACCAGCTCATCAGGAGATCTTAGAGGAGCAGCAGCCTCAGTTGGACCACACTCAGGATGTCCTGCCTCGCTGTCGTGAGTTATTGGAGATGGGACGAGCAGACATTGCCGCTAGTTTCTTCCATGAGGGATCTGACCACAAGCGTGTATGAATGACATCATTGCAGTGGTAGCAGGGGCACTTATGTACCGCAGGCATCGCGCTAGGACGGGTGAGATCGATGGCTGGCGACACAGACCGGGAGGTCAAGGAGGCGTGAGAGGCAAACAAGGCGGTCAGGCACGCACAATAATGACTGTGATGTGTTTTTGATGACATTGATGTGCCATATTTCTTCTTTTATATATATATATATATATATATATATATATATATATATATATATATATATATATATATATATATATATATATATATATATATATATATATATATATATATATATATATATATATATATATATATATATCATATTATATATTATTTTATTTACAGATATATGTCATTTTATATTCATCTGTAACAGTTAATTTTTATCTACGACCAACAAAATTTGATTTTAAAAAAAAAATTGTTCTGATAAGATTTCAGAAATGTATCTCCGAATTTTTTTCGTAGATGCATCTTTGAAAGCATCCAACATAAAGAAAAAAAGATACGTCCAGATGTGTATCTCTGAAAGCAGAGGACATAAAAATAATTTCATTAAATGCCTAAAAATATCAATAGATGGATTAGAAAACTCTACTAAAATAATCTCATGGACTAGTGGGAGGTTATGTTTCTTACTTGTCCAAATTGATTTCCTTGTTGTATGATCATTTCTTGAAATACTTATCATTTTCATTTATTTTTCCTTCTTCTTAAAATGCCATTTTTCATTGATCAAACAAATTAAAGGTAAAAGTGTGAGATCAATCATATTTACGGAAAAAAAACCAATTGTTATGTAGATCATTTTATCAATATCGATTATATTAGAGTCCGATAATAGAATTTTCTACTCTCTATCTTCTTTAATTTTGTTGTCATGTAATATATGTCCATGAGATGAGTCTCTTTCCCATGTTATTCTTAGTTAGTTTTAAAATCTAATAAGATTTTAATAATTTAATTTATGTTTACATAAAATCTATTAAAAGTTAATTATACTTAATTAACTATTTTATAATAAAATTAGTTTTTGTTTGTTTATATGTCGGCGTGTAATTATTGTAGAGGTGTCATCAATCACGCTCACTGTAAATTTGGTCGTTGCCATACTAACGAAAATGAGAGATTTTCATGGCCAATAGCCACGAATGCATATCATATATCTCCCCCCTCTCTCTCTCTCTCTCTCACACACACACTCTTCGCTCGCATCTCTCTCTTCGTTCTCGCTCGCACCTCTCCCTCTTCTCTTCATTTCGATTCTTTTTGCATCTGCCTCGGTATGTCCTTTCATCTTCAAGCTTTCTCTCTTTTCGTTTTTTTCACGCTTACCCTTTCCATTGCCTTTCTTCTCCTTTTTCAGAACATCGATTCAGGGGAAATAAATTTCCCACTGATAGATTAATTCCAGTTGTTTTTTTCTCCGATGAATATAATGTTTCGATTTCTTATTATTGTAATAAAATAGTGAAACTTTATTCTCAATGGCGTGTGATAACACTGAAAATCTACAAAGGGCTTCATCTGATTGAAATCAATAATTCCATTTCAGATAATTTTTTCATTTTTTTAGTTTACTTCTAGTAAGGATATCAATATCAATTCCAATTTTCTTTTAAGATTGCATGCAGCTTTGTTTTCATGTTATTTTCGGTAATTGCTTTGCTTGCTGTCTTTTAGTTTTTTGCTATTTTTTTTTTTGAAGGTTTGGTTACTTTACAGTTTAGATGACAGTGAAGATTAAGCAACAAAGTGTGTTTTTCTTAATCATTCATTGCTAATATTCTACGCTTGTTTGTGAAATTCACATGTGTTAGTTTGAGGCATGTGCATGAGTAGTACCTTGGTTTTTGTGTGTTTTGTAAGATGAAGTAGTTTATGAAACTTTATGTTGCAGCAAGCAGTTTGTGATGAAGACTGAATAAAAGGATTCAGTTTGCTATGAAGCCAAACAAATCATAGAGGTGGCCAATGACAGAAAAGAAACTCTTGTTTGATGGTTTGTCCTAAACAGATTTTTTTTAATTTTTAATTCTTATGTTTGAGCCTTTGTGACATCAGTTTTTCATTTTGATTTTCTTTGATTAGGGAAAACCAAGTTTGAAGATCAAAAGGCTGCCTTTAATGGCAGTTGTATGTGCAGTAATGTTGTTCGTTGTATATAGGACTTTAAAGTATCAACAGAAGCAAGAAGAGGTATGTCATAGTCTCTCTTAAGTAGCGCCAAATAGTATTTTTGGTAAGCCTGTTATTGTTACAAAGTATCCACAGGATTTGCCAATGACTAGTCTCCCTCGGAGAGCCTGACTCCCCTCATTTTTTTCATCCAATGGGCTCAAACCCGAAATACTGCTTAAGGGATCTCAGTCCAGTTCAGTGTTGTCCATGGCTGATGGACGCTATTCAGCGTCGTTATAGCGGAAAAACCCGCAATATTTGCTGATATTTACCATTGCGGTGAGCCCAAAAACCACCATGTATACCCACCATATCGCTGCAATTGCGGATATTTGATAACAGTTTCATTCGGACCAATGTAATATTTGTAGGGGCCAAAGGTTTTGATTACATGTTTGACTAATTACACGGGTGTTATATTTTGATTTGAAATTCTGTGAAGGGGTGCCAAAAAATTATACAACCAACTTCTTTGTTATGATTGAAAAGCTATTTTAAAAATAACTCATTATATGACCTTTTAGTTTTTCTTTGGGTTGCTAGTATAGTATGGTTTAGTCCCCACGAAAGAGGATAAGACTTGATTGTTGTTGTATTGTAGTTGCTAGTATGGTTTAGTTTCAAAAGCCACTTTTTATGGCAGGTGACAACAGCACAGACCAAGCTTTCTGATTTTATAATGCATCCCTAAAAGACATTATATTCTTGTTCTTCATTTGCTAATTTTGAAATTTCCTTTATTGTTTACCATCTGCATTTATCAGATAGACCAAAGGTGGATTATCCGGAGAGATGTAGAGGTATGCTTCTTTGACTTTTCCAATTTGTTTTCTGATTCTTTTCCAAATTTAAGCTTTGATGTTTTAAGACAAAGGTTCTCCCATTTATAGTAAACGGCGAGTTTGATTGCATTCAATATTTTTTCTATACACACACGCACCTACTTTACCTTGCATTAGTTTGATGATGTAAATTGGATGTGTATTCTTTATTGACATTGGAACTATTGATGCAACTGTGCAGCCATATGCGGCTCATACTGGAAAGTTAGAAGGCTTGCCACGAGGTATAATACACGCCACTTCAGATTTGGAGCTAAGGCCTTTATGGTCGTCAGATGATTTAAGATCAAAGGTCAGCAGGCATCTTTGCATTGTTCTTTTACATTATAGGTTTATTGAAAGTGTCAGATGGTGGCAAGAATTCGCTACTCCCGCAGTCCCAAATTATAAAACGTTTTGAGCATTTCACACATTTTAAGAAACTTAATTATTACTTTATGAGAAAGACAAATTATGTATGACACTATGCCCCTCATAATTACACAGGAGAGAGAAATTAAAAAAGTTGAAAGAATAAATAATAATAAATACCTGAGGGTATATTGGGGAGAATGTCATTAATATTGCATTGAGAATGTAAAGTGACTTATAATTTGGGACAATTTTTTTTGGCAAAGTGACTTGTAATTTGGGACAGAGGGAGTACTATGTATTGGACAAGCTTATCTAATTAGTGATTTTTGTTGGTCGTGATTATTTGCTCTTAGGTTAATGTTTACTCGAATCGTAGCTTGTTGGCCGTTCCAGTTGGTATCAAGCAAAAGGAAAATATAGATACTATGGTGCAAAAGGTATTTTTGATGATTTTTTAGGTTATCAAAATCATTTGAAGCAGAACTCTAGGTCTAATTTCATTGATTTCAGTTTCTCGCAGGAGGTTTTACAATTATTTTATTCCATTATGATGCCAATGTGGATGGATGGAAGGATCTTGATTGGTGTAGCAGGGCCATACATATAGCTGCTAAAAATCAAACAAAGTGGTAGGTATAAGACTTATCAAATGAATCTTCCTGTTGCAAATAATTTGAGTAATCTGCCACTGCCTGACATTGGATTCTTACCCAGGTGGTTTGCAAAAAGATTTCTAAGTCCAGATATAGTTTCTATTTATGATTACATCTTTCTCTGGGATGAGGATTTGGGGGTCGAATATTTTTCCCCGTCGAGGTATACCTAATGGTTTTGTTGATCCTTATTATATTAAGGTCACATAAAGTTGCTAAGTAATAATTGTTTGGCCTTCAGAAATGGTAGAAAATTAAGTTACATTTTATATTTATATTCTTTATCTTGTTTTTATATTTTCATCAAAGAACTAATTAATTAACTGGCATCTGTTTTGAAGATATGTTAAGATTGTAAAGGAAGAAGGGTTGGAGATATCTCAACCAGCTCTTCATCCGAATTCGACAGAGATACATCACAAATTAACAGTCAGAGCTAGGACCAAGAAAGTGCATCGGTAACTTTTGGTTTAAGGACACAATATTGTTTGTACTTTCTAATCAATGTTTGTTGGTTGTCATTCTAACATTTGAGTTTCTTTCTTGCAGACGGGTCTATGAACTCAGAGGTAAAACTAGGTGTTCAGATGAAAGTGATGGGCCACCATGCACCGGGTAATTACTACTTTCTTTGTGCTGTGTGTTTTACTATTTTTGTAAGTCAATGTTCAATATCTTATACACTGGTGTTATCATCCATCTTTCTATCATTAGGATGAGATTTTTAAGTTTGTATATGTCGATGTATTAAAAAGAGAAATTGAGAATTTTACAAATCAATAACATTTCCTTTGTAAGGATTTATTATACTTTTGGTGGCATCTGTAATCATCATTCATCATGTTATGAATGACTTAGAAACTTCAATACAACTTGTGAAGGTTTGTCGAAGGTATGGCTCCTGTTTTCTCTCGATCGGCATGGTATTGTACTTGGCATCTTATACAGGTAATTTTCCATGGTTTGTAGGAATTATAAAAATTATTATTCATGTTCTACCCAGAAACAACACTTGATAACTCATTATTGTGATTTTCATTTTCTCAGAATGACCTTGTACACGGATGGGGAATGGATATGAAACTAGGATATTGTGCTCAGGTGAGAATTACATGATTTCTGGCAACCCCACATCATAACATTTGATGATCGTGGAGTGCATTGTATTTTCCATTTAGTATCTGCAACACTCGACTCTGGCTCTGTTTGTTTACGCCGGAATGATTAGCACTTGTCCCATTTTCTTTAAGCTTCATTAACTGCATGTCAAGTATCATTAGTAGTGAAATCAACGCCATTTGCAGGGAGATCGCAGTCAAAATGTGGGTGTTGTTGATAAGGAATATGTTTTTCACAAGGGGATACCAACTCTTGGTGGTAACAGTCATGCTATAATCAAAGTATTTACCTCCTTCCTTTCCAACTATTTGAATCTATATAAGATAATTAATGCAAAAAAAATGGTCATATAAGATAATTAATGCAAAAAAATGGTCCCGGCGGGGCTCGAACCCGCGACCTTCGGCTCATAAGACCAACGCTCTAACCAACTGAGCTACGGGACCTCTTGGAAATTGTGCACGTTTCTCAAAATTATTGTTTATGATGCACCTATCTTGTGAAACTCATTCTCTTTCCATTTTTCCAATGACATTTAGAAGAGTTATTTCATTCTTTATATTCTTACATTTCATTAACTAACCTGTGAATCCTACATTCACCTTCTTTTTGATTTTGTTCCCTTCTCAGAAACACGGCTCAACAGGAATTGATCTGAGAACTGAGGTGAGGTTTTTGAACTACATCCGATTTTCTTGCAAATGACAAATGACCTTGTCTAAATTTGTAACACATACTCGTGAGCAGATAAGACGGCAGTCAGCACGGGAACTGGAAATCTTCAAAGAGCGCTGGAAAGAAGCCATTGCCCACGACGAAAGTTGGATTAAACCATTTAAGAGTGGTAAAAGACGCATAAGAAGAAAGCGCAACCGCCGACTGTTCTCTTAACAATTCTTTCATCAAACTAACATGGTTTGATAAGTGTTGCTCTTGCTTCATTCATAGCCCTTGGTCTCATACATAGTTATAGGCATAATTTAATTTTTGTAACTGAGTGAATTCTCAATTCTTTGAATTTTCGAAGATCTCATTTTTTAATATTTTTTTGTTCTTTCATGGAGCCAATGTTTAGTTTCTTGTCTTTTTTTCCGCTTTTTAAGTTTTCTTGCCTTTCCTATTTTCATACATGTAAATGGCAAAGTGAATAAAATAGTTTATGTTTTCATGATCTATGTTCATTAATTGAACCATGCTGCACAAAATCATCACTAATTCATCTTCACCATCAATTCTAACTCAGACAAGTAATTGTGTGACATAGTTAGAAGTTTCTGTGTCTAATCCAAATCTACAAAGTGCCTAATCAAATTGCATTCATGTTCCTTTTGTATTACCATCCATAAGCCATTTAGGCTATGGTCACTGTCATTCATAATTTGACTTTGCTTGTTATTATCCTCTAAGTAGAAATATATAGATCATTAGGGTTAATGTTATCTTTTTTTTAGTAGAACTTTCATTTCATCATGGTTTGTATGTTTGGTTTATAGCTTCATTAAAGTCATTAAGTCACTTACACACATACATTTTTACCTTTTTTTAGTGCATTGCATTTCTTATGTCATTTTACATACCTCACACTATGAATAATTACAAAGAGGTCCATCTTACTTTTGAAATTTAGATATTATGACATATAAAAAGTAAATTGATGTGGAATTTGCCAAAAAAGAGAGATTTTTTTTCCATTAGTACATTTACATCCATACATATTAATATAAATAAAAAAAATAATAGAATAAAAAATGGAAAAAAAAGTCCAAATTTGTTGGAGTCCCGCACGAATTTCTTCTCCATAGCATCATTTTCATCATTTCATGATCAAGTAACTATTGGCGTTAGCTGTCAACAAAATTGTAGGGACTATAATAGGAATATAGTTATTAATTGTTAATTTCTCTGATTTGGTTATAATTATTCTGATTTAGTTATAATTAGAAATAGGGTTTTCTGTGTATATAAATATAATCAATTCTCATCTGATGTATACGATTGAAATATATGAAAATATTATACCAATTTAACATGGTATCAGCCGCCAGGTCTTAATCCAGACCTACGGTAACACTTTCCATCCTTCTTCCATGGCCGACTCGGATTCAAACTCCGATGAGACTACCTCGTCTTCTATTCTTGCTGAGTTGACGACGAAAATGACGGAAGTCCTGAACCGTGCTTCAGCCCCGTCACAAATTGGCTCTGACCATACGGTGGCACCGATTGGCATCAAGTTAGATGGCAACAACTATTCCCTTTGGTCCCAGGTGGTCGAGATGTATATCTCGGGCAAAGACAAACTGGGATATATCAACGGAGATTTCCCGCAACCCCCTCAAACAGATCCTACATTTCGACGTTGGCGGACTGACAACGTGATTGTTAAGGGATGGATAATCAACTCAATGGACTCCTCTCTAATCAGCAACTTTATTCGATTCTCCACTGCCAAACTGGTGTGGGATGCAATTGCGACCACGTACTTCGATGGCAGTGATATCTCCCAAGTGTATGACCTTCGGCGACAGGTGACACGTCTTAAACAAGCTGGTGGTTCTCTTGAAAAATATTATAACGATCTCCAAGGACTTTGGCGTGAGATAGATTTTCGTCGTCCAAATCCGATGACATGTCAAGTTGATATCCAACACTACAATACACTTGTCCAAGAAGAACGAGTGTATGTGTTTTTGGATGGACTTGATGACCGCTTGGATAATATCAAAAGAGACGTTTTACAAATGAAACTGTTTCCAACAGTGGAGCAAGCATATGCACATGTTAGGAGGGAAGCTCTTCGTCAGGCAGTGATGACAGACAACTCCAATGAATTATCAGGAGCAGGTCTTGCATCCAAGGGTCTCAAATTACAGAACAGTAAGATATTTTCTCAATCCAAACATAAAGAACCATCTAATGACACTAAGTGCTCTCATTGTGGAGGTAACAAGCATACTAGTGAGACATGTTTTAAGCTCCATGGCTATCCAGACTGGTGGACAGACTTTCAGGCTCGAAAGCATCACGAAACAACTGAGAGCAACCCAGGCAAAGCTGCAGTAGCTACTGCTGAACCACATCTTTCCCTCATTCCGAAATCAAGTTCCCACACCACTGAAGGTAATGTTCTAATTTGCTCTAATCATGATGATGACTCTAACGGATGGATACTTGATTTCGGAGCTATCGATCATATGACGTTTGATGCTACTGATTTCTCTGAACATTCAACCCCTCGGCGCTCAAGTATTGCCAACGCAAATGGTGATTTATCGGCGGTAACAGGGGCTGGAACTGTGATGTTATTACCAACCCTTTTGCTTTCAAATACACTACTTGTTCCCTCTCTATCTCATAAGTTGTTGTCTGTGAGTCAAGTTACAAAAGACTTGAACTGTGTTGTTCTAATTTATCCATCTTTTTGTTTTCTTCAGGATATTCTCACGAAGGAGATCATTGGGTGTGTGTCGCTTGCGCAAAAATAAGGTGCCAGCATGACAGAAGAGTCGCCACCTTTCGTTATTTATCCCTCAGAGCGGGAAAGGAAACGATCGGAAAAACCTGACGAAGAAGGGTAAGACAAGGTCATCGCAACCATTGTCTGGGTTCGGGAGTCGGTTACGCAAGGGGAAGGTATTAGCACCCCTCACGTCCGTCGTACTCGACGGGATCCTCGCTTGTTTGTTCACTTGGACGGGTTGGTTTTATTCTATCTACCTATCAAGGCTGGCTGAAAAAGAAAAGAAAAATGACTCGGCAAAGCATCGCGCTTTATGCCTATGTATTCTCATCAGAGAATGAGAAATCAGAGTCAACGTAGTTCGGCCTACGAAGGATTATGGGGGAAGGTAGCTCGCCAAGACATCGCCATCTTGTGCCTACGTACTCTCAACAGGCATGAGAGATCAGAGCTCACGTAGTTCGGGAAACTACGGTTTATTTCCTGTTTTCGAAAGAAGTGTCTTTTATTGTGTTTGCGATTTCAACCGCACTAGAGACTATGACCTGAGAGTGAATGCGTTGCATGTCACCCAAAGGGTACCATACTAAACATCCAGACTGTGGAAAAGAAACTCTCCCACAATCCTTTCTCAGATAGCTTAAGGCTCGTAACGTACGAGAGAGATCATTCATGATTACTGTATCTTAAACTGCTTTGAGATGAGAAGAGAACAGGCCCAACTAGGAGGGAGACTATCAAGTCCTACTGTTATCATGCCATGGATTCATCCTATGGTTGAGGTTTGAACAGGGAACTCCTAGATGTTGTCATGCATAGGTTTCAACCTAAAAGTCTATCATCAAATCCTTATCAAAAGAAATGAGAGTCCTAAGGGATCATGTCAATGATACACCAAAACAGACAAAGCATCAGCTTAACAGTAAAATGCATGCAATGCAAGTGAGGGAGGAAATGTGTGTGGGGCTTCAGCCTCCACAAGCTCGTCTCGACCTCAAGCCAGTCATGAAATAACAGTAATCATACTGAAAAATAAACAACATGCTATCAAGCAATAAACAGTAAACTGCAATCATACAGAAAGAAGAAATGAAGTGCCATCAGGCAAAATAAACACATGGGCAAGGGAGCTGGGCTCTACCGAATACCCGCAAGCAAAGCCAAGCAATAACAATACAAACAGAGGGAGCAACTCAACCTCTAATGCAATCATGCTCCTAGACTGAACTTATTCTAAGTGGACTTATTCTAATGCAACAGACAAATCAGACAAAACACACAATACAGAAAAGAAAACAGAAGGAAGCTTCAGCTCCTCCAGCAGCAACTCAGTCTTCAGACTTCAGAGATCACTTGCTTTCCAGGTATCAACCCTACAACATGAGTATCAACTCATCTTCTCCCTTGAGCTTCAGCTTCTTAGATCAGCTCCACCTTCAGGCTTCACTATCTTCAGGGATCTTCAAGCATCAACTTGATCTTCACAAAGTCTTCAGACTTCAACAATCTTCAAGGAATCATCCTCTCCAAAGCTTCAGCTTCTATCTTCAATGGCTCAAATGCTCCCACAAGCAAGATTCAATCAACAAGATGAGGTGAGGATGTTAGAGTGCTCCCTGACTTCCAAAGGATGCCATTAGGGACTTAACATCAAAATGAAAGGCTCTCTCAAAGTTCTACCTCATAGGGCAAGGTCACTAATCCCTCCAAAGGAGAGAGGTGAACACCCTTAAGGGACTTTATATCATAGAGAAGGAAGGATGTGAACAAGACACTCCTTGTTTATTGAATGGAATTATTCTATCTGAAGCTCTACCTATGCACTTATGATCCTATAAATAGAACAAACAAAAGCTAAGCTCCTCCTCAAGGTCTTCAAAGTCTCAATGATGATCCACAAGATCTTCAACTCAATCTTCAAGGCTCACACACTCAAAGGAGAAGAAAAGAAAACAAAACAATACAAACTATGCCTTTAAGCAACACACATACTAACCATACATTCAAAAATCAATTAAAAATACTAAAATACTATATAATATTCTAGTAAAATTCTAGGGGATTCTATACATACTTACCCTTAACCCATATATTCCCCATACACTAATTTGGCCTATAAACCCCAAAACAAAATTGTTCAAATCTACTTATGCAGCCTAAAACCCTAGTTTTGAGTCCCTAAATTCCAAACAAGCAAACTATATCAAATTTTAATCTACAAATTTTGAATTAAATCCTATATGAACTATGATTCAATACCTAACTATGCCAAAAAGAATGGCTCAAAAATCCTAAGGGAAAGTCCTAAAAGAAATTATACAAAATTAAGCATCAACTAAATCAATTAAAAATACTATTTACATAGAAAATATGCTAAAAAATATTAAAAGAAAAATAAAATGGAATTTTATTTATTTACATTTTTCTAGAC